CTTTGGGAGGCCGAGGTGGGGGGGTCGCATGAGGTCAGGAGTTCGAGAGAGACTAGCCTGGCCAACATGGTGAAACCCCATCTTTACTAAAAATACAAAAACTAGCTGGGTGTGGTGGCACACACCTGTAATCCCAGCTACTTGGAAGGCTGAGGCACAAAAACCGCTTGAACCTGAGAGGAGAAGGTTGCAGTGAGCCAACATGACGCCACTGCACTCCAGCCTGGGCGAAAGAGTGAGACCTCTTGCCTCCAAAAAAAAAAAAAAAAAAAAAAAAACAATTAAGACTAAGCTTGACTCAAGTGACCCTCATAAAGTAGCAGGCCTACTTACACAGCAATATCCAAAAAGTTTTAATGGTATGTGTGTGCATGTATACAATGCCATATGGGAAGGAGGTATAGCCACAGAGCAGTCTCTTTCACATGGTGAGACTGTGGATGCCTTCTTTGTACTTCTCTGTATTTTCTCAACTTTCAACAGTGAACATGTATTACTTTCACTGTTGAACAGAAAGACAATTAAGTACTGAAAGATTTTTATTTTTTAGAGATGAGGTCTCACTCTGTTGTTCAGGCTTAAGTGTGGTGGTATGATCAAGGCTCACTGCAGCCTCGACTTCCTGGGCTCACGCCATCCTCCCACCTCAGTAGCTGGAACTAAGGGTGCATACCACCATGCCTGACTAATTTTCTTTTTTTTTTTTTTTAGAGATGGGGTCTTGCTATGTTGCCCAGGCTGGCCTCCAACTCCTGGGCTCAAGCAATCCTCCCACCTTGGCCTCTCAGACTGCTGGGATTATAAGCGTGAGCCACCATGTCAGGCTTGAAAGATTTTTTTAAAAGTAATTGCATGTTTATTCAGTCATCCCAGTAACGTAGGTTGTGAACAACAGTGGAGTCAACTTGAGTCAACTCAGAACAGCTCTAATCACAATCTTCTTTTGGGGTGTCAGCAGAAGGCCACTCACCAAGATAACACAAGCTGACTAAAATGTCAAGGGGTACCTAATTTAGACTTTTTACACCAAATGTTCCATTTTCGTCATGTAAGCTATCATTATCTAGTTATATACATTAAAATTAAGTGGGACGGCCGGGCGCGGTGGCTCACGCTTGTAATCCCGGCACTTTGGGAGGCCAAGGTGGGCAGATCACGAGGTCAGGAGATCGAGACCATCCTGGCTAACACGGTGAAATCCCATCTCTACTAAAAGTACAAAAAATTAGCCAGTCGTGGTGGCAGGGGCCTGTAATCCCAGCTATACTCGGGAGGCTGAGGCTGGAGAATGGCGTGAACCCGGGAGGTGGAGCTTGCAGTGAGCCGAGATCGTGCCACAACACTCCAGCCTGGGCGACAGAAGCGAGACTCTGCCTCAAAAAAAAAAAAAAAATTAAGGGGGAAAAGGTTACAAATGCTTTCAAAAGTAGTTTTTATTCTAAACAATTCAGCACTTGTTTTAATTTTTATTTTTCTGAAATAAAAGCCTTACAAAAAGCATAAATTATAATCCAATTCCACTGATATAGATCAGTACTGAATTTATTCCATACTATAGAACAATCATGTAAGAATTCTTTTCAAAAACACTAACAGGAGATAAGGTATTTTTTCCTTCAAGTTCTTATGATTTAAATAAGAACACAACTATGCACGAAAAAATGAAACAAAAATCCACCATACAGGCTCCTCAGAAAAGCACCCAGAACTTCATTAGTTTTACTGATAATGCTCCACCACACAGGCTCCTTAAAAAAGCACCCAAAACTTCTTTATCAGTTTTACTGATAATGCCTTTTAAATTCCAATCTCTCTCACACCTAGCTGCCACAACACACAACTTTTAAAGCAGCAAAAGTCAATGAACCAAATAGGTCCAAACAAAAATCTGCATGTAAATGTGTATAGTTGCTTTATTAATAATGGCCAAAAATGAAACAGGCAAATCCATAAGGACAGAAAGTACATTCGTGGTTGCCAAGAGCGTGCAGTCAAGGAAGGCTGCTGATGGGAGAGGGTTTCTTTCTGGGGTGATGACATTATTCTAAAATTGGATGGTGGTAATGGTACATATCTGTGGCTAAACTAAAAACTACTTAATTGTACACTTAAAGAGGTGGAATTTTATGATACATAAACTACATCTCAATAAATTTGTTTTTAGGCCTGGCTCACGCCTATTTTAGGCCTGGCTCCCTAGCACCTTGGAAGGCTAAGGTGGGCAGATCACTTGAGGCCAGGGGTTCGAGACCAGCCTGGGCAACATGGCCAAACCTCGCCTCTACAAAAATACAAAAATTAGCCAGGCGTGGTACTGCATGCCTGTAATCACAGCTACTCGAGTGGTTGAGGCACAAGAATAGTTTGAACCAGTGAGGCAGAGGCTACAGTGAGCTGAGATGGTGCCACTGCACTCCAGCCTGGGCAACAGAGTGAGACTCTGTCTCAAAAAATAGTAAGTAAGGCCGGGCGCGGTGGCTCAAGCCTGTAATCCCAGCACTTTGGGAGGCCGAGACGGGCGGATCACGAGGTAAGGAGATCGAGACCATCCTGGCTAACACGGTGAAACCCCGTCTCTACTAAAAAATACAAGAAACTAGCCGGGCGTGGTGGCGGGCGCCTGTAGTCCCAGCTACTCGGGAGGCTGAGGCAGGAGAATGGCAGGAAGCTGGGAGGCAGAGCTTGCAGTGAGCTGAGATCCGGCCACTGCACTCCAGCCTGGGTGACAGAGCAAGAAAAAAAAAAAAAAAAAAAAATTGTAAGTAAATAAATAATAAAGCTGTCTTTAAAAACATTAGAAATAATCTGAATACTCATCAGTTGGTGAACGGATAAACACACACCATGATACATCCACACAATGAGATTCTACCACTGCGGATTGAGTTGCATCCTCTTAAAATTCCCATGTGAAAGCCCTAACTCCAAATGTGACTGTATCTGGACACAGAGTATTCAGGAGGGGATGAAAGTTCAGTGAGGTCATGGGGCTGCAGCCGTTATCTGGCAGGACTGTAGCCATGCAAGAGGAGGAGGAGAGAACTCTCCCTCTCTGTTCGCCATTGTGAGGACACAGCAGAAGACAGTTGTCTGCAAGGCAGGAAGAAAGCCCTCACCAGAAACCTTGATCTCAAACTTCCAGCCTTCAGAACTATGAGACAATTGCTGCCGTGTAAGCAACCTAGCCTATGGGATTTTTGTTAAGGCTGCCAAGCAAAGACAACTGCACAGCAATAAAAGGTAATCAGTAAAACAAGGTCCTATCTCAACATTACTGCTAAGTGAAAGAAGCCAGACTTAAAAGGTCGCAGAGACCAGACACTGGACATTTCCACTGATATGACATTCTAGAAAGGACAAAACTATGGGGACCAAATAAATCCATGGGTTTGCCAAGGAATGGAGGTGGTGGGAAGAAACTGACAACAAATGCATAACAATGGAATTTTGGAGGGTGATGGAAACGTACTGTATTTTGATGTGCTAGTAATGATTGCCAACATCTGTCAATTCCTAGAACTGTACACCCACAAAAGGTGATTTTTATTGTATGTAAACTATCTCAGTAAACCTGACATAAAAGTCAATGACCTTACCTGGTAAATCCTGATGATGTAAGCTAAAAATGACAATGTTTTAATCTGAGCAGCAATGAAGTCAGCATACAACTCCTTGTTGTAAAGCTTATGTTGCCTGAATAAGAAGAGAATAAAAATATTACCTCTCAATTTTGGGTGATGATAGTATTAATTAAAAGCCTGTAACTATCACTAAACCCAAAAGATTGATTTCCACACAGACCCAAGCAACACAGACAGCAGCAATAGCAAAGGTGTCTACACTTTTCATGCAATTCCAAATAACATACAAGTTTCAAGGGAACACACCCAACAGTTCTCCAATCCCTTCTATAGCAGTTACAATGTGAATCCCACAAAGCCAGTGCCAGGCCAATCTACTCAATCCGCAGAAAGAATTCGTGTAACATCTGCCCAGTGCAAGACCCCGACTTGGGCCGTGGCCATGGCCAAAGAGTATTCCTCCTTAGATCCTGCCCTCAAATGACACAGCCAGATAGGCTCCAAGTCAGGAGAGTGCATTAAGACAGTCTCAGGAGGAACATCCTTAGGTTTGAGAAAAGGCTTCACCGAGAGGCTTCAAAGGATGAACACAGCCTATCTGGAGATGAAGGCTGATGGGGAACTGAGGGTGTAAAGAACATTCTAGCGCTCAAGCTGAACAATGAGCAAGAATAAAGGCTTGAAGATGAGCAAGATTTGGATATGCCACAGCTGTTATTGAGCACAGTTCACACCTGACGACGTTTCTAATTTACAACACACCAAAATACGGGCTATTATCTCATCTTTCCAAATTAAGAACGAAAATAGCTACAACTGTCATCCCTGAAACACAGGTGCAGAAAGTCAAGAGTGCATATAATTTTACCAAAACTTTATCACTCATAATTTTCATGTCTTAAGAATGACAACAGCAAGTGTATTTTTACTTGGAATCCAAGCGCTGTGGCAGCTGGCCACAGTGACGCCTCACCTGGCTTGTGCAGACACCTGAATGGCAATGGTGTTCATGATCAAGGGCACAAACTCAGCAACAACATTGTGGATGTTCAGTTTGTAGAGCTAAAAGCAAACATACCAGATTTTCATACATCTATACTCTACTATGGCAACAAAATTTGGCATACCAAAGAATCATCACGTCATTTAGCATGTGTGTATTATACACATCTTTTTGCCCCAGATGTCAGTTTTCTCATAAGAAGCCCAAAACCCAAGAGACTAATGAGCAATACACATACCTGATACATTAAAACAACAATGATGGGCAATTCTGCCAACACTTTCAGAGAAAGTGATCCCCTCGGAATGATGGAATGCTAGAAGACAGAAACGGGTAGGAGCTGGGTTACCATTGTGGCATTTAAAATAGCCCCCACCAGTGCCCACCGGGCATCACCCACTGAAAGAGAGAGAACAGAAAAGAGTGACACCCCTTTGTAAATATTTGTGATGAAAGATCCAAACTATGTTGAAAACAAATAATGCAGAACTATCATTTAATATAATTTAATATGAAAGTTAGTTTTTTTTTTTTTTTTTTTGAGATGGAGTCTCACTCTTGCCAGGCTGGAGTGCAGTGGTACAATCTCGGCTCACTACAGCCTCCACCTCCTGGGTTCAACAAATTCTCCTGCCTCAGCCTCCCGAGTAGCTGGGATTACAGTCACGAACCACCACGCCCAGCTAATTTTTGTGTTTTTTAGTAGAGATGCGGTTTTGCCTTGTTGGCCAGGCTGGTCTCAAACTCCTGACTTCAGGTCATCCGCCCACCTCAGTCTCCTGAAGTGCTGGGATTACAGGCATGTGCCACCGTGCCCAGCCTAAAGGTTTTCATAATTTTCTACATAATCATTTGTAAAAACTTCAGGAAAATATGTTGAAACTTGGAGATTCAAATCACTTGAGAAATTTTTAAAACGAATACCTATGATTTTACTTATTTAAAAGAACACCACAAAGTATAATTTACCCAGCAGTTTTATTCAAAGATATTTATAAAGAGAAAATGCTTACAAATAGAAAAGTTCAACAGCCCTAATACATAAGGACTCATGAAACAAGGAAAATGTTAGGCTCAAAATACAAATGGGCAATGGACATGAACAGACAAGGAAAAAAGAAAATACAAAGGAATGATACTCAGAAAACAAATTTCTAATTAAGAACAACGAAAGGAGGAAAGCTTTATTCAAAGTTTCTCGTTCATCCTAGCACAAACTGAAACACTCTGCACAACCATTTCAGCAAAACAAACATGGATAATATTAATTCAATCACAAAAATTGTCATAGTAAATGCTCAAAACATGTTACCTATGTGGCAGACACCACAAATATACGATACATTACCTGCGGACCATGCCAGCATTACCTTCACAAAGTCCGTGAGACAGGTTTTTCAGATAACGAGAGGAAAAATAAGGTCAGAACGTAGGTTCGTTAACTTTCCTGGAGTCAGAAAACCCCAGTGGGTGGGGCCGGGACATTGTACTGGAGCTCTCTGTCCCAGAGCCCACACTCTCAGTCACTGAGCTATATACTTTTATCTATAGTTTAAGGGACTTTATTTATGTAAAAAGACTTAAAGCTAAGGGACAGAACAGACACCCCACACCTGGTCTGCTGCTGTTCCCAGCAGGGTGATCCTGGGTTTCAATAACAACCTTATCTTTCTAGCCTGGCATCAATGACACGGGACAGGTCATTTTCACCCCTCCCAGGCTGCAGAGAAGGACCAGTGATGCTCTGCCAGGCACACACGTTTATTTGTCTTAAATGTCTCCATGTATTTAAGGAAAAAAAAAAAAGAAAAAACTTAAATGGTTTAACAGGCCAGTATCTTAAACTACAGCAGCCACCGGTAGAAACAACTCAGTTAGCGAGACACTTACTGTTCGAGTCTCACTGTCCTCACGCTCCGGGTTGACTTTCACAGCAATTGTCGTTATCATACCAACCATTTCTGGGGGAGGCACTGTGTTCTCGGGGATCACTTGAGGGTTCTCAAAGTAGCGGTTCTACATAAAAATAAAAAAAAATATTTTTTCCTAAAGTCAAACCCAATATTCATTCCAAAAAAAAAAAAGCAAAAAAACACCTGACTCTTCGGTGGAAAAAAACAGAATGTTCTACATCTTTATGCTGCACCAACTCCACAGGATTTGGGCTCAGTCATTCATTTTCCAATCCCCCTTAAAGCCTAAACCAACACACCACTAGATGTTTACTCTTCCCACAGGACCATAAAGATAACACAACAGGGACCAGGTTCTCCATCTTCAACAATGGAAGACCAAAGCTTGCCTAAAAGTATTTTCTACTTCTTTTTCCCTGGCTAATAAATGATTGAATACAAACCATATCACATTCCTACCACAGTGAGGTAGGAAAGAAGGCACTCCATCCCTCTTGGGAAGAAACTATGAGCTGGCAGTCCCCACTGATTAACTTTTCACTCTCTAAATAGAGATCAAAGAGTGAACAAACAAAACACAGGACTTTTTTTTTTTTTTTCTCGAGACAGAGTCTCACTCTGTCGCCCAGGCTGGAGTGCAGTGGTACAATCTTGGCTCACTGCAACTTCCGCCTCCCAGGTTCAAGCAATTCTCCCGCCTCAGCCTCCCAAGTAGTTGGGATCACTGGCACGCACCACCATGCCTGGCTAATTTTTGTATTTTTAGTAGAGACTGGGTTTTTCACCATGTTGGCCAGGCTGGTCTCGAACTCCCAGCATCAGGTTATCCACTCACACCCCGTCTCTACTAAAACTACAAAACTAGCTGGGTGGAGTGCTGCATGCCTGTAATTCCAGCTACTTGGGAGGCTGAGGCAGGAGAACTGCTTGAACTCAGAAGGTGGAGGCTGCAGTGAGCAGAGATCGCGCCACTCTACTCCAGCCTAGGCAGAGACCCAGTCTCCCCGCATCCCCTGCCAAAAAAAAAAAAAAAAAGAATTATGATTCCCAGAAGAGTCTGGAAGAAGCTGTTCTTCTGGCAAGAGTGTTTACTTCTAATAAGCGGGAAGGAGATGAGGAGATTTTCCTTTTCTACTCCACAAACCTGTATGTTGTGGCACTGCTTGTAAGAGTTAATGAGATCAAAAAAAATGTTAGTAAAATTTTTTAAAAACACTAAAAATATACGCCACCTCCCCAAAAAGTCTTCAAGCCTATAAATTCAACCGTCGTTAAAATGCACAAAGTGAAAAACAAAAGCAAAATCTCCATGTCAATGGTTGCTTACAAGTAAATGAATTACGAAAAGTTTTTTTCCAAAATTTCTACAATAAAAATATATTGCCTTTATGTACAAAAAAAGTACTTACGTGAAAGAGAGAAACTAAAAAAGCTATTTTTTTGAATGGCTGACTTATCAACCTAGCTTTTAACCATCACTAAACATTCCCCATTCTAAAATAGTATCCCCTCCCCAAACACTATTTCTCCAACCCAAATGTTCTAAAGACTTTTTGGAATAAGGAAGTATAAACAAATGTAACTAATTAAAACCAAAGTGAAAACATACCACTACTTTTGGAAGCTCCTTGTAAATCTGTTTTACGAAATCCAGAAAATGATGAATCTAAAAAAAGCAGACACTTTCATTACAGGAAGATATTCATAAACAGAAAATACCTATAATAAATAAGAAAAGTTGTAATTGTCTTGCTACATAAGAACTCCTAAGAGAGGTAAGGAAAATGGTGGGCTGAAGATACAAATAGGCAATGGATGTGAACAAACAAACAAAAAATAAGTAAACATAAAGTACTGATAAACAGAAAACAAGTTTCTGATTCAGGAAGAGCACAGAGTTGAAAATTAAAATAAATGCCAGTTTTTGCCTTTCAAAAAATCGTAATACACAATGCTTGACAGGATGGAATGAGAGACAGATTCTCATACTGTGGGACCATAAACTACTGAAACCTTTCTAGAAATCAGTTTAACACAGGAGCATTAAAACTTCAATGCTTCTGCCTTGGTAATTCTCCTACAAAGCTAGTCTATGAAATAATTTGAACCATAAACAAAGGTATTCCACAATAACCATTAAAATAAGAAGTGTGAAATACCTTCAATATCCAGAAATAAGGACACCCATAAGAAAGAATACTCTGTACCCATTAAAAAATAATTGTGGCTAGGCACATGGCTCATGCCTACAATCCTGACACTTTGGGAGGCTGAGACTAGAGGATCACTTGAGGCCAGGAGTTTTAGACCAGCCTGGGCAACATAGACCCTGTCTCTACAAAAAAATTTTTTTTAATTGTATACAGAATTTTTTATGACTGTGAAAATGCTTACACTTAACATGAAGTGATCAAGCTATACGATGTTATATACAGTATTACCACAACTATGCAGAAAATATACAAACACATTAAGGTGAGAAAAAGGAAAGAAAAGGCCAGGCGCGGCAGTTCACGCCTGTAATCCCAGCACTTTGGGAGGCTGAGGTGGGTGGATCACATGAGGTCAGGAGTTACAGACCAGCCGGGCAACATGGTGAAACCCCATCTCTACTAAAAACACACACAAAAAAATTAGCTGGGTGTGGTAGCATGAGCCTGTAGTCCCAGCTACTCGGGGAGGCTGAGACAGGAGAATCGCTTGAATCCGGGAGGCGGAGGTTGCAGTGAGCCAAGATTGCGCCACTGCACTCCAGCCTGAGCAACAGACGAAGACTCATCTCAAAAAAAAAAAAAAGAAAAAGAAAAGAAAATCACCAAGATATAAAATCCTGTTTTTGAGATGGCAGGAATCCTATTTCATTTTTATGCTTTTAATTTCTATTTTAAGTAATTTAATTCAATAAATAATTTTTAATTTTAATAAGTAATTTAATTTCTATATTAAATCATCTGTGACAGGCACTTAGGTTATCGTCAGAGAAGATATAATTATGGTAAATGTATACTTGCTGCTTACTGTATAGGTAAATGCCAATCACTCTGCTAAGAACTTTAAATTTTATGCCTAATTCCTCAAACGACCTTTTAAGGAAGTCATTTTACAGAAAAATCTCCAAAAGGTTACAAACTTAACCAGTGTCACACAGCTACTGAATTGCAGAGGTGAGATTCAAACCCGGCTCTGGCTTCAGCGCCCATATCTTAATCCCTGTACAACATAAAATGACTTGTACATCATACGCATAAATACCAGAACAGCCCAAATAACCTGTCAGTTTGGTCATTTAATACATTTCAACTACGGAACCAATTTAGCAAAGTATTGATAAATATATTTTTTTAAGTCAATGTTAAATTCATAAAGAACTGCCCCAAACTTAGGCTATATTTCTACAATTGAAAACAGCATGTGTTCAGTCAACTTTGAGAGCACAAAAAATTTCACATAAGGAACATGCTGACACACTTTATAAATGCTACCAGGATTTTAAACAACTCACTTCTTGTGTGATCGGTGGCCTGAACTGTTTGTGTAGCTCGATAATTATTCTTAGACAAATAAGAACATTTTCTTCATTTTCCGTCTAAAAAATAAACCATTTAAAGAAAGTTATACTTCTGAAGACTCACTTTAAAGGCTAATTTTCTAAGCAGTTTCTGCACACACACTATCCATCAACCAGCTTCTACTGGATTTGCTGAAAATTTACCAGCTCACAGAACACAGTTGTTCCAGACAGAAAGCTTTGTGCGCCACAAGAAGGGAATCCCACCAGCCAGCTCTGCATGAGTAACCTGGACAGGGGCTTCACCGGCCTTCATGGCAAGTGGCACCAGGAGCTAAGGACTTCCTGGCCCAAATGACACTTTCCGTGTTGGACAATATTGTGAAAAGACCAGTAAAGAATTAATGGGCAAGTACCATGGACTGGACCCTGTGCTAAGCACCTTACAAATGCTCTGTGAGGACGGGGTTCCATCTACATCTGACCTGTGAGGGAGCGAAATCTCAGGGGTTAAGCAATGTGGCTGGCATGACACAGCAACAAAGCGTCCCAGCCAAGACAGAATCCAAGCTCAACTTTCCAAGGGGACCAGAAACACGACTGAAATCTAACTGCATCAAGACTAAGAGGGCGAGGCGGCTCACGCCTGTAATCTGAGCACTTTGGGAGGCCAAAGCAGGTGGATCACAAGGTCAGGAGTTCAAGACAAGCCTGACCAACATGGCGAAACCCCGTCTCTACTGAAAATACAAAAATCAGCTGGGCGTGGTGGCACGGGCCTGCAATCCCAGCTACTCGGGAGGTTGAGGCAGGAGAATCACTTGAACCCGGGAGGCGGAGGATACAGTGAGCGAAGATCACACCACTGACTCCAGACTGAGCGACACAGCGAGACTTTATCTCAAAAAAAAAAAAAAAAGACTAAGAGAAGCAAGAAAACAATTTTTTGTTTGCCAGATGGATTCGCCCTAAGGATGTCAGATACTCTTTACGAGCATCTACTAGGTGTAATGCGCCGCACTGGAGATACACACGGAAAGAACAATGCAAGTGAGCCACTCAGTGGGCGTCTGTGGGCCCACACCCGGCTCACCGTCCACAACCGTTTCAAAGATACCACTATGTCTAGCTAATTCCTCAGTTAACTCGATGATTTTCAATTAAGTAAACTTTCTGAGTGGAGGAAATGGGGGAAAAGGGACATTAAGAAAACGTTTTACTCCTGTGACTTGGAATTTGGGCAAAAGATAAAACAGTTGTATAATGGTGAAATTTACCATAAGAAAAATCAGTGAAAGTTTTACATATGGCTATACGATAAGAATGAATTCTCAAAAGTTACCTCTAAAAAGCGAAACATCACAGACAAAACATTTTTTGTGTGAGGACGAAGATGTTCATTGGTTGGTATCCTATGAATTATTTCAAGTACTAGCTTCCGCAGTTGCTGGCAAGAAAAAATAAATAAATGTAAGGATAAAAATACTTCCAAGGGTTCCAAATTAATTATCTTACACTCTGCAAGTGTCACACAGCTGTTTACACCCAGCACTAGCAACACACCACCATCCTACAAGAGGGACGCAATTTTTGAAAACAGTCCTAGAAACTACTTAAACGTAACCCAAAGTAAGTACTGCAGATGATCATTTTCAGTATTTCTACAACTCTGTACCGACTCTTAATCGACTAAGCCTATTTCTCCTCTTCCATGGCTTATCAGTAAGTCCAACAGACGGACACTGGTGTACGAACATGGAGTCCATTGAAGATAAAAGAGCAAAACACAAACTGAATGTAGTTTGGGATCTCCCCTTACCATCTAGCGTTAGCTTCCATAATGCTATCACCAACCACCTTGGGCCCAAGGACTAGTTACATTATGAGCTGTGCTAAGCTTCTGTGATTCTGTCTGTGGAGCTGACAACTAAAAGCTCAAATACATAAGCTCTTGCACTGGTATGATATAAAAACGCTTTATTTACTAAGAAGCTGGTGTTATGGGAATGTTTTTTAAAAGTTATTTTTAAGAACTACATGCTGAAATATTTATAGAAAAAGTGGTAGGCCGGGTGCAGTGGCTCACGCCTGTAATCTCAAGACTTTGGGAGGCCGAGGTGGGCGGATCACCTGAGGTCAGGAGTTCGAGACCAGCCTGGCCAACACAGTCTCTACTAAAATACAAAAATTAGCCGGGCATGGTGGTGTGTGCCTGTAATCCCAGCTGCTTGGGAGGCTGAGGCAGGAGAATTGTTTGAACCTGGGAGGCAGAGGTTGCAGTGAGCTGAGTTCGTGCCATTGCACTCCAGCCTGGGTAACAGAGCGAGACTTTGTCTCAAAAA